TATTTTGGGAATTTCAAAACTCTAATCCTATTTTTGCACAAGTCCTATGTTTTACTCCTGTTTTGGTAATTGCCCCATATTTTACGACTAATATAGTTGATTTACACTCCATATTTGAAAATTTTGATATTGTGTACACTAGATTTTTTTACTATGTATAAAATCACGTGACTGTGTAGTGACTGTACGTGTATGTAGACTGCGAAGTCAAATTTCTCTTATTTTAATTAATTATCATCTTTTATCATTTTAATAAACGAAAATGGAGACGGTGGATCTCCTTGCTTGACACCCCTGTGGGGTTAGGAAAAAAAACCTTTAGGGACCCCATTTATGAGAACATAAAAGTGGGTAGCCTTTAGATGTTCCATAACCAGATTAATAAAGGCAGTAGAAAAGCCAAACTGAGAAAGAACCACGTTGAGAACGTGTCAAGATAGCTTCAAAGGCTTTGGCCATATCAAATTTGATCACCAAGTTGGTACCCTTTTACCTTCTCATCAATGGAATTGATCATTTCTTGAACAACAAGAACATGGTCAGATATCCCTTCCTTTTATAAGGCCGGCTTGCTCACTAGAAATTAGTCTGGGGAGGCTATTGTTATGTCTGGTAGCTAGAATCTTGGTACATAGCTTGCTGATAAAATTAGACAGACTAATAGGTTTGTAATAGCAAATGATGATTGTTTCTCTTTATTAAGAATAAGAATAATGAGAGAGCTGCCCTGATCACATCTTAGCCCACAATATCCGAACATTTCCTAAAAAAATATTCCATTATAGCTATCTGAATCTGGAGCCCCATTTTTATTTAACTCGCACACGGCTTTTTAAACCTCTTCCATATTAGGTAGCTCAAGTAGAATATATTTATCATTTGAATCTACCAACCTTGGAATGTATTGCAAGATCTCCTCAATATCGGTTCATTAGAAAAGATCCCACTGAAATACCTCTCAGTAGCTTTACCAATTTCGTCCAAATCATTACAGGTTATTGCCTTCAAGATCTTTAATGGAGAATTGGAGATAATAGATTGCAATTTCCTTCTCATATTAATAAAAGAATGATTAAACTTTGTATTAGCATCCCCATCCTTCAACCATCTATATTTTCTTTTTGCTGTCCTCGCCTTCTTGTGCTCCAAATCTTTCCAAGTGGCACCATTTCTTTATAAAGACGGTATATGGATGGATTTGTTGTGTGTTAAGTGAGCTTTAATGGACCTTAACGTTGAATACAAATGGCTAGAATGTTGGGCATTAATATGTCCAAAAATTGTCCATTTAAAGGTGCATTAAAGGATAAGAACGTTGGGCATTAAAGGCAGTAACAATTCACTAGCAGCCTGCTAGTGACCGTTCACTAGTAGCCTGCTGTTGGAGGTCGTTCAACGAGTAGACTTCGAGAGTCAATTTCTCATTCACCTATTATCCGTTTTGAGTGTACCATTTATCGAATTGAATCCATTAACAAGGAGAATCTGAAATCACTTTGACCCAATAATCCAAATCAGAAGTGAGACCCACTCAAAATTTTGCCCGAAATTGACCATTTAATGTAATTTTAACACATTTTTCCAACACTATGTTATGTCAGTTGTCTCATAAGATTAAAATGACAAAAAACTCATATCTATGAAGATAATGGCCACATAATTAACACTTAATACTGCACTTCATGATTTAAAGTTTAAAAATCACGAAAACCAATTTGCAAACACAAAAATCTACAAGGACCACACAACTTTAGACGCCTTTAGTAGTGAATGAAAACCTATGATCGACGAGAAATCTTTTTTGTATTTTCTTTTTCTTAATAATTATACTTCCTTGGCATTTATAGATTAAGCGTAAGAGACCAGTTCATCTGCGGCTAGGTTTTCCCTCGTGATTCTTCTCACGTAGCGCTTTCTTTGTGTGGCGTTCTCTTGGTGATTTTGCCATCTTCTTTTGGTGCGAGTGATGTCAATAGCGTTCAACAGAATTGGAGGTGGTCGTGGATCTGTGTCGCCTAGGATTGTGAGGAATGATTTTCAGATGCTTGTTCTAGCTACCTTGGCTTAGTTGTCGACTGGTTTGGAAGTTGCACCAGCGGTGGTTGATCCACGTGGATCACTGGTGGTTTCGAGTTCAAAGAAAGGGGTGAATTTAGGCCCCAATCGATCGATTGGAGGATTGTCGTGATTGATTTGGTTGATTAAGTGGGTGACTATCTGGGAACATAAAGTGTTGATGGTTGGTCCCCTCCTAAACCACCGCCAGAGTGTTACAAAGATGTTAGGGATTGGAAGTTAACAGTTCCGGCATGGATTTGGATTTGGACACCTGAAGAATTTTAATTTTTTGTTGTGTTAGGTTTCATAATTATTTGTTTCTGTTTCACTATGTTGCTTTCAATAATATTTTGGGTTGGAAGGGAGTTAGTTGTGTTGTTACTTGTTAAGGTGCTTATCACCCCGGTCAGAAGCTTTGTGGCTCCAAAAGCCGTATTTATCTTCAAAGCTCTCACATGGTCTGCGATTTGGTATCCTCATCTCAGGGTGACTAATTTTATGTCTAATCATAGAGTGAGAGGATCTTCAAATTTTGAGTCTAGTGGGAGTTTGAGTTTTCAGTTTGAGGCAGATGTATTATTTTGGTTGCATTTTATTTTAATATAAGCAAATATCCTTCCAAAACAATTATACTTCTCCAATGACTAGCCTTTGAAATGTGAACACTATTCTCTTATTTAACTATCGGTACTAAAAGATTGTAAGAGCATCTCCAATGCTATAACGTGCACAGTGCACATGTGACATGAGAAATAACCACACAAATATTAATTAATAAATTATCTCATTCCTTATTTGAATAATTTTACACAATTTTGGTAAGTTTTTCTTCACAATGTCAAAAGACCGTCTAGATGTTGAAATTGAAGGGAAAAACTTATCAAAATTGTATAAAATCATTCAAATAAGAAGATAATTTATTTGCTGATATTTATGTGGCTATCTCTCATGCCACATGTAAATCGTACACATTATAGCACTGGGGATGCTCTAAGGCTAACCGCAATCCAGCCCCGTCAATAAATCGAATTCTCCTCCATTTTATACGTATTCACTCAATCAATTCAGTTTTTCTCTGCAACCCAACACCGTCAATATATTAACTCAGTACATATTTTTTAAGTTAAAATCACAAATCCTTACTTTATTTAATACACATCATTTATGTGGTAATTTTATTTTTACTAATAATTATGATTTTAAAAGTCAAACATTCTGATGTAAAAATAAATAAATTCAGAGTTTAATTTTTTTGTTACTTCGGGTCTATTTTTGAAAAAATTAACTCAGACATGTAGATAAAAATATTCTTAAGAATATTCTTAAAAATATTCTTACCATGAGACTATAATTTTAACACTTGGATTTGTTTAAGAAAAAAGTTGAACCTAAAAATATACAACTAATATTTTTTTCAAAAAAAATTATATATATAATATTGGTGTCATATGAAAGAGAATAAGAAGTGAAGAATTTTGATATATTTTTTGTAAAAATTAAAATATAAATTAAGAAATTATAACACTTTCAAATAAATTGGGGATTTTATTTAAAGTGGGCCCATGCATCAGCTTCTTTCAAACGCACCACATCCATCCACTTCTTTCAAAGGGTGAGGGCCCAACTAATTTCTGTCTTGCGCAGGGAGAGTCAATTGGCCGTCTACAAATAGCTCACCACCGTTTTCTATATTGTGGATAAGACCTGCCCATACATTTTTTCTCCGCGTTGCAGCTTTTTTGGGAGTGGAAACATCACATTTGGGTTTTCACTCCCTCCCATTGCAATCAGCCTAATGGATGAGTTTTCATCCATTTCTTAAATGGGTACATTGGGGGGAGTATAGCAAAGAAAATGAAGCATTCAACAGCGTTTGAGATATTTGCTCCATTCTTTAAAAATTACAACACCTTCCCTTTTGACATTTTCCAAATAACCACGTCACCTTCCCTTTTTGACATTTTTTAATAACCGCAACATTAATCATCTTAATAAATATAATTAGATAAAATGCCTATCCTTCATCAAAATCAAATACTTCGCTTTTAATTTCAATCTAAAACATAGATCTAAATTTTGTCTTCACACTTTTTGCACTTCACTATTTTTTTTTTTTTTGCACTTCACTAATTCAACAACCCTTTTGATCGGCGAATTAGGGAATAGGGATCAACGATGCTGATTTATCCACTCCCCTGCAGCCTTGTACGGTTGTACCAATGATGAGACAAATTTGGTGGTTCCAGACACCCCTCCATATTATTGCATCAAGAGAAGCAGATTGGTCGAGATTCGAGAACTATGCAAACAAGAGAACTATGAGTAGCAAGTAGCAAATTTTACTACGTATGAGGTATGCCCACCCTTATGTTGCAAGAATTCCAGAAGTATATGAGTAACTTCAAAAATGGATTTGAAGGAAACTTAGAAATCAAATTGTATATTTAATGAACGTAAGTTATGGACTCACTTCCTGGACAAAAGCATAATATGAAAATTATTAGTTTGATTATAATGATAGGAGCTTAACTTAAGAAAAGGTCTCAATTCAACATAGGTGTTCAAGACTAAAGGTCTGGACCCGTATGGAACTGAACTAGAAGTCCAAAACCAGGCAATTGAATCACCTTGGGCATGATGGAATAATAGCAATTGCACTAGAACTGGCTCAACCCAAGTACAATCCCAGTTCCACCAAAAATTAGACTGGAATGTCTAAGAACCAGTCACAATTAGAAATTCCAGTCTCAGTTACAAGTGATCAGCTTTGGGGACTAAGAACTGGCCGGGCAAAAACTGGGCCACTGGGGGCACCCTCTTCAAGACTCGATAGATATTCTTTTCGACCTTGGGCCTGGGGTGTTCTGGTGTCTTGGTGTTGTTTCAAATAATAATTTGCTTATGAAGTTCAAGCTAAAATGCAGATGCAACATGAACACTAAGATAATTTCTACATTTTATTATGATGTGATGATTATCATGATCATGATCCATGTTCATGATGACATCAAATTGCCAAGTTGCCTTTGCAGCAACAGTAGTTAAGGTTCTTTTATAATACAAATGCAAATTTGGAGTAAACCTAAGAATACTGATCACCAAACGTAAATACTTTAAGTAGCACATAATGAACATTTGAACTACTTACGCATTCAAGAACTTTATTTTACACCAGCAAAGAGAAAGGTAAGAAAATATTTCTTTTCTAAAATCAAACTTCATTGATACACGTCAATAACAAAAGCGGAAGACAAAAAGAAGTTGGAATTTTGGAAAGGCTTCATACTTATCCCCCATGCAGAGTTGAAATGAAAATGATGACATCTTTATCTTCTAACACAGCATTAAGCTGCCCATTAAGTTCCCAATCTATATCATTGATGAGGACTAAGACTCCTGGCCTCCTGCAGCAAATCACAACTGATTCAAACACTTGAACTAACCAGTCTGTTTTGCAATGCTCCAAATGTGTTGCAATAAAATTCGGTTATTCTTAAACCCCAGTACCCAACATTTTGCAATATTGGCGTAGAGCAATATAATGATAACCACTAATCATGAGGGGTATTATGCCAATAATGAAATAGGGTCCCTGCTGATGTGGTTCTCTAAAAATATATAAAATCCATAGAGCTCCGTTGCATTTGAAATATTGAATTTCACAATTACATAGACCAAATCCCCCCCCCCCCCCCACCACTTAAATTTGCACAAATCTAAAAAGTAAAAACACATAAGAATAACCGTTATAACTTATAAGGAATGTATTTTGAATGTATGTAGTTTACAAAATAAAGGTAGAAGTTGCTTTGAAAAGAATAATAATGTTAAATGTGGTCTTAATTTAAATGAACTGCGTTTGAAGTACAACTTACACAGTGTCTCCCTTAATAAACATTTCAGGCCTCTCCTTGATCAAATTCTTGCAAACCCAAGAGAGCAAATATTTCATTGTGACCTGGCAAGGAAACAACAGAAACAAGCCACCTAAGTAGTCTAAATCACTACCCTGTAGCAACTTGGTCAAGGGCCGAGTGAGTAGAACTTAGTACTCGGGATTACACGGTGAATATTTGGCCCTATACTAATTAAATTTAAAAATATAGATGACCAAAACTTTGCCAAGTTTGACAAATAATAAAGTGAGAGAGAAATAATAAAGTAAAAACTATGTGGTTAAGATTTGTGCAGAGGAGAGAGAAATAATAGAAACCACAAATTCATTGAATAAAAAGAGAAGTGATAAACTTTTTGGGACATCCAAAAAAGGAAAGATGGAAAGTTACAAAGGACAGAGGGAGTATTAAGGAGTGTTTGCAATTGATTAAAAAAAGCACTTTTCAGCTTTTGGCTTAAAAAAGTTAAAAAGAGTGTTTTCAAATGACAGCTTCTGCTTAAATTAATCACTTAAAAGCTAAAAGCTGGAAGCAGGTGGAAGGGTGCTTTAAACTGCTTTTCACTTTTTCTATTACATAAAAAGTACTTGTTTTACCAAACACTACCAACTTTTACTTTTTCAGAATCACTTTTTTCTCAAACACTACCAACTTTTACTATTAATCACTTTTCCCCAAATCACTTTAAAAAATCACTTTTTTAAAGTTGAAGCAATTGCAAACACTCCCTTAGTCTTATACTACATTCGTCCCAGTGTAAGGTTCCCGTCCACTATTCATACGGTCAACTTAAATTGTTCTTAATCTTTTATTTTATACTCTCTCCGTCCCGCTATTAACTTCCTACTTTGACCTAGGAAATAAATTTGACTTTACTGTTTAGACATTGTTTGGCACTGTTTAGACACTGTCTGGCACTGTTTTGCACTATTTGACACTGTTTTGATGTAGGATAACTTTCCATTTACGGAAATGAGAAGATGATTTTGGGACGGCCCAAAAAGGAAAGCAGGAAGTTAATAGCGGAACGGAGGGAGTATATCCAACTTTTATCAATTTTGAATTTTTCTGCAACTTTATAAAAAATTAATGTAGTTTCTTAATATATAAATTTTATTCAATAAAATAATTTTATTATTGATAGGGATCAGTTAACGACTTAACGTTATGCTCAGTCAAACATCGTAAACCAAAATGGAAACCTTTACCCAAGACGGAGGGAGTATAATTCCAAGAGATGAATAAAATAATAATAACCTAATGATGAAGTAGCAAAAATCATAAACATTACAGGTTTCCAGAATATCATCCATCTAACTTGTAAGAGCCGATCTATGAAATGCTTTTAAACTTAGACTGACTTTGTAAAGTTATTTTTCCGAATTTCAAAATATCACTCATTATTCATAAACTTATAGTATCCCAGAGTGACAATAAAAAAGAATCCATAGTAGCTGACTTTAGTTTAAACTTTTCAGATTTTACCCAAAAAACATTTAGTGGTTGCTGAATAACTAACCTAGTCAAAGTTGTCACCAAGTTAAGAAACTCGCTGAGTACCCGGCGAGTAACTTGGAAAGACGAAACACATCGAGTCACAATGCTTAACGGCAAGGCCACCGCAAAGTTGCGAGTACTCGGCGAGTAGATAACACAACATACCAAAACAATAAAACAAGGAAGAATATAAAATGAATTAAGTGTTTACAGAGAGGACAGTCATCACAATGAAAAAAATTCACCTTTTTCCCACCATCTTCAGGTGTAATGCAGATTTTATGTATCCTCTCAGAATCGCAAAGAAGTTCCAATCCACCTCTGTTCAATTGCAATGAAGATTTCCGAGTAGCACAGAAGAATGTCAGGCATAATCACACAATTTAAAAATTGAAATACAATATTTCATAATCGTCAAGTAAGTAGCGACAGAGAAATAGAAGAATGTTTAAGCAGAGGAATATCTGATGAGCAAAAGAAGTGGGGAACTCGTTTTAATTTACTAGCCCACATTGTAATAGATTTTTAATCTTCTCAAACAATGTGTTGGACATTACCCACGACTAAAAGAAGCAAAACAGTTGGACCTTAACCATATGGGTTTTGAAGTAGTTGTTATCCTTTAAAAAACACATTCTAACCAGTTTTGACTATAGAGTCATATACTTTGTGATGGGTTCGAGAGTGATTCCATTTGAGTTGAATGCTTGTTCTGCGAAGCAACTTGTGTCGACGTTACTTCGGATATACAATACAAAAAGAATATATTGCAAATTTACTGCTTAAACACGCTGGGATAATCATTTTCTTTTAAATCTAAATACTACTTGATGCTTGGTTTGTTAATGAACAAGAAATATAATGAAAACAGTCATAAAAAAATTCAGAAACATACAATGGAGAGTTTTCATGAATTTAGTGTAAAACATTTTTGGTACATACAACGGAGAATGGAATTGACATATATTCAGGTGAGCCCTTTCGGCAAGCATTTTTCATCTAAATAGAATCAATACAAGAAAAATTCAATGAATTCATATACTGAGTAGATAAACAATACCCAAATTCGAGAGTCAGGTACATATCTCGTGATACTGCCATACTGGTATTGGCTTACGAAATCCTGAAACCCTAGAGCAAAACAAGAAATTAAACAGTAATTACAATACTGCAAAAACCAAATGAACAAAGTGGATGGAGAAAAATTAACTTTTTTAAGCTGCACCGGGGTGGAGGAAAAGGGCAGCTGGAGCGAGCAGAAACGCAGTGTTTTTTCTTGTCGCTGTAACAATCTTGGGATGGTTTTTCCTTTAAAAACACGTTATCAATGGTATTGGTGATAAAATGGGACAATGGCATAATCATTTAAGTTTTCAACATACGGTTTAACAAACACATTTACAACTTTTAGTTTTTTTTTTTCTATTTAGAGCATCTTCAATGCTACGATGTGCACGATACATATATGACATGAGAGAGATAAACACAAAATATTGATTTTATGGTATTTTTATCTTCTTCTTTCCATGGTCTTATATGTTTTTGGAAAAATTTTCTCTGCAATTTTAACCAGAATGTCTCCATCTAGACATTGTGCTTGACATTGTGAAAAAAATTACCAAAATGATATAAGATCCTTCAAATAAGGAGAGATATATTATATTTATTATTTTTTAATTAATTGTTTCTCATGTCACATATGCACCGTTATCGTTTTAGCATTGAAGATGCTCTTAGTTGTGAGAGTTTTTCCTCCGCTCTTTCTGTGGATTTTCACCGCTAGAGTTTTTTCCTCCGCTATCGTTTTTAATGAGGAGCGGCCGTCGTATGCAGGCTTAGGCAATTTTTCTTTTTTCGCTTTGGCGAGATTAAGCGGAGGGAAGAGGATGCTTGGTCTCAGGCGGCCGAAGGTTGTGCAGGTACGGAAGATGGATGTTTGGCCTCCGGCGGCCAAAGATCATGGACGAAGTGTGGGGCTAGAGGCTGGAACAGATCTAGATTCGAGGTCATCTGTGTTAGGTGGCGACAGAAGAGGCTTGATAGAGAACATGATGAAGAAGAATTAAGATGAGGAAGAAGCTACAGTACTGCTGGATTGTCCCCCTCCTTAACCGCCGCCATGGAGTGAGTCTAGGGTTTGTAAGCAACTTTTTAATTTTATTGTTTGCTTGTGATTTATTTTTCATGATCAGACTGCTTATTTTGTTATTTATTGCTTTTATTATTGTAAGATTCTTGCATTAGGATTGGGTGATGGGAAACCTGCTTTAACCGTTTTTGTCTCATTTATGCCCAATATAGGATCAGCGAGTTATATTTCTTTTTTTTAAGGTGATTGACATATAAGTCTTGTTCGAGGCTGGCGGTTGTCTGTGGTCCTTTTGTCGTTGGACTCCCTATCTGAATGCTAATGTTATGATATCAATTTAATCCTCCTTCCAAAAAAAATGGGACAATGGCACAATGCGACAAGAAGTTATTATTTTTTAGGGATAAGGGTCAGATAAGGCCTCGAACTCGAAAAAAAATGTCAAATAAGGTCATATTTCGGATGCTCTGTCTGGCCGACGCCATTTGGGGCGGTTCCCGATGGAATTTTTTGATGAAATTTTTTGAGCATCTTCCTCATTAAGTCTAGTTTACCCATACCAAATTTCAGCTAAAAATTCAACCAGGAAGGTAGTCAAATAATTTTCCGAAATGTACGGCGTTGTTTAACTTCACAGTTATCTTCAAAAATTCATTTGACTACCTTCCCGGTTGAGTTTTTAGCTGAAATTTGGTATGGGTAAACTAGACTTAATGAGGAAGATGGTCAAAAAATTTCATCAAAAAATTCCATCGGGAACCGCCCCAAATGGCGTCGGCCAGACAGAGCATCCGAAATATGACCTTATTTGACATTTTTTTTCGAGTTCGAGGCCCTATCTGACCCTTATCCCTATTTTTTATCATTCCTCTTTACCATATATCCATTTTCATCAATACACGCTCGAGGGAGTGCTTGCAAGGGCCGCCAGTCTCTTTTTAGAATCAAATAACTTTATTATTATTAGTCAAGAGTTAAAGCATGAATAATACAATTGGATAAACAACCCCACCAAATACTGTTAGACTCTGGACAGACTTCCCTAGCAAAAATATGGACAAACTTTGACATCCTCTATCTAATCTCTATGACATCCTAGCAAAAACTTAGACACGTATATTTTGTTTTGTTTTCTTGCTTGCTTGCTATCAGAAACCAACTCCTACCATGTACCTTCAGCAATCACAATCACCATGTCTCTATTTTTCCGCAGTGTTCTCTTAATGTATTTATAAAGTCCACCTGGCCCTTCAGTGTTCTCTTAATGTATTATAAAGTCCACCTGGCCCTTCTACAGGAATAGGTGATGCTGGAATAAAGAACCAGTCCACATCTCTGCTCGCAAGAGTAGCATACATCACTTATAAAACCTGAAATATATCCTAACCTTGCATATAAATACAATGAACTATAAGGATGTTTTAACTTGGACTGTAACTTGTCCCAAACCAGATTAGACCAGACTTGGGTAATTATAAAAATACAAAGAAATTAGACCAGACCAGACCACATCAGATCAGACCAGTTCAGACCAGACCAGACCAGATCAGACCAGACCAGCAAATTACAGTCCAAGTAAAAACATCCTAATATATAATACAAATTGATTCATATATTAATGAATTATATTGATTAGTACCACTATGGCACTATAGCGCCCCATCAATTTCACAACACCAATCTCGTTTTCTGCACTTTCAACCTCAATATGTGCAGAGCATGAGTCATATTCCCTGTAATTCTTCATAAGCTCATAATATGAAGAAGTTGCATAAATTTAGTCATCTAAATAAGGAAATAACTTTATTTGCAAAGCACGAGTCATATTCACTATGGTTCTTTGTAGGTCCAAGCCTCATATGTATGGTACTCATAAGCAACAGAGACATAAGAAAAGCGGGTAGGTTTTATTTAAGAGGTAATTTGAATTTACACCCCATATTATTGTCCAAATTGGACTTTGCACCCCGTTTTTGAAAATCTTTATTTTGCACCTCAACCCCATATGAAAAAAAAAACAAAAATGCCCTCAATCAGTATAAATTGTGCTTACCACCCCCATGTTTGTGTCAACTTTGACTGATTATGAAAATTTAATTAAAAAATCACCTAAATATGTGATGTTGGACAACATGTTTAAATTCAAATGTTAGAAAATGTGTGTTGAGGTTTATTCCTTCAACCCTCGGGTCCAACACGTAAGCTCAAGGATTTCGAGTGGAGTATGTGTGGGTAAACTAGCCCACTAACAAGCAAGATGAGTCAAGAAATAACAAAATAGCAATTAAGTGATTAGGTATTATTATCTCTTAATAACTCCCTAATACAATACTTTTCGCTAAGGCTCCGTCGGCCGTTCGTCTTACAAGGCAGTAGAGATGCTGCGAGTAAGAACGCTATAGCTAGGGTGCTAAGAATAGAAAGTTGCCAACCCTTTACAATGAAATTAATGCTTCTATTTATACTCACCAATGGGCAGGTGGCTATACTGACGTGGAAGCCTGTGGACCGCTGGTGTCTCAACCACCAAATCTTCAGCATTAAATGCACTTCCCGCCAGAATCTAGGTTTCCCGCCTAATTAGTGGGGACGTTCGTCCGCCAGGGGAGCGAGCTGGATTGCTCCAGGTGGCCACCAGGGGTAGTCGGCCGTTCGTCCCCTGGCCTTTGTGGATTCTCGCCATGCGGGCTAGACTGTCTCCGATGGCTATGGGCTTGCTCTGACGACGTTCGTCGTCATTCTGGTGACCCGTGGGCCTGCCCCTTGCCCCCGCATAGACGTTCGTCGAGATGGGCCGTTGAGCCCGAACCCCAACTGCAGACGTTCGTCCCTCCTGGAGGAACATGACCTCTTTAGGCTAGTTCGGTAAATGGGCCGACCCTCAACTTGGGCCATTAACCCAACAATGTGTATTTTGGCTATGTTGCTGATTTTTGGAACTTCTTTAATTGTTTGGAACTTGGATACATGAAGTTATGAAGTATTGGACTTGTCACTTGTGTTACATGTGCATCACTATGTTGTTATTTTGAAACTTGCTAATATACTATATTATTGTTTATTGATTTTTGAAACTTCGTGAGTTTTTACTACTTTTAAGATAGGGGAATAGAAATTGTAAAATCCGGACCAGACCAACCCGTTTCAAACGGGCCGGGTAAGTTCTGGTTCCTATTTTTTTGAAAGTTGCAATACCCGGATCGAACCGGACCGGACAATGTAACCGGCAGTTCCATTTTATTTTGCATTACCCGCCTCGACCCTGCCCATGTCCCGCCCTACTCATAACTATTGTTTTGGATTCATTGTTTTGCTCTATTAAAATTGAGCTTACTTCTATAGACCACTTTATATTGTTCTTGAAATGGGTGGAAGAAAGCAATGACTCCAGATGACATACTAATCAAGTATTAAAGATTTCAAAAGACAAAGAAGTTTTTTATTTGATCTGGGTTCTTCTGATCTGACCTGAATTGAAAGGAAAAAAGAAAGTAGAAAAATTTTATCAGAAAGTTGGTTAATTAATTATTGAAAGACACTGCGCTAAAATATACCAAAGCACAATGTTTTTTAATAATTTATTGGGAAAATTCCCCAAATAGGACTAAATGAAACTTTAATTGCCAAAATAGGGCCATATCTTAAAATTTTCCTAAATAGGATTAGCTTTCCAAGTCTATCCTTTATTTGTTTTAATACAATTCATATTTTATTAATTATTAAAATATAAAGTGAAAAATATAACTTTATTTATAAAAAAAAATGTAAAAAATAAAAAATTCGAAAATAAAAATTATTTAAAATTAATAAAAAAATTGGGAAAAAAATTATAAAATAAAATACTTTTAAAATAAAATAAATACATAATGTAAAGAAAATTAAAAAAATATGCAGGCCTATGTTGTCGCCTCAGCAACCTCCTGGTACCACCAGCTCCGATCACCCGAAAAAATGTCAACATATGTCAAAATGCCATCTCGATAGCAATTTTCGAGATTCTTTTTTTGCATTTTCAAGAGTACAAATGCTATATTCATGACATTTTCATGGGAAAATGACAATTTTTACACACAATGACATTTTTTTGCTGATCAGAGATAAAGCTGTTGGCAGTAGCCGAGACTGTGGGAAAAGCCTCCAAATTTTCCGATTTTTAGAGGCTTTTATATATATATATATATTTTATTTTTAAAGGTTTTAATTTTTAATTTTTATGATTTTTTGATTTTTTTAAAAAGTATTTTAGAATTTTTTTAATATTATTTTACGATTTTTGTATAAGTTAAATTATTTTTATTAGATTTTGAATTTATTAAGGAGTAA